TTCTCCCTCACAGAATATCTCAGATGGAATTGCATGCTATTCTGCGTCCTTGTTCCAGAAGATTTTGGGACCACTTTATAGCCAATGCTGTCATCTTGACTCGAAAGGAATTTCTCGACCTCGTGCATAGGTTTCTAACGACCATTAACGATGAGAACGTTCGACTTAAAATAGCTAATTTTCGCTCCAACTGTACAGGTTATACTCAATCAAAATTACTTTTTTCTTTATGTCACAAGATCCAGTTATTCTAAAAGCCAGATATTCTGACTATAGACTTCCACGTAGGGTTCAGAGACTATCGTTCGTATTAATCACAAAATAAAGTCAAGAAGTCTATTAGTTATGGTTGTAGCTGAGTAAGGCAACTTCTATAACAGAACTGAAACGAAATGCAAGAGGTCTGAATCGATTGCGTTTTAAAATTAATGCAATAACCTCATTTGCGTCGTTATGAATAGCCTCGTAAAAGTGGGCGGAACTCGTGTTTGATGGCAAATGTCCTGTGAACGTAGGAAATCTATGTCGATAAGTGCAGGACCCCTACAGCGGCCTAAATGCACTGCTGCTTGGTTCTAGTTTATATTAACGTGACTTAACGTTCATATAACTGGATTACGGTTACATGGTATTTCTGCATGCAGAGTGCACTGATACAATACTTATTGTTTTATTGGTCTGAGCAAGGAAAAGAAGGAAAAGCTTGCTTTGCCTGTCATTGAAGATGATGCAAACGACACTTTGCACCCGTGGTATAGCGACAAGCTTAAATGTTAGGCGAAAAGTGACTAAAATCAAAAGCCATTTTGAAAAATATTTCTGAAGATATTTCATTTAAAAGTGGTTGCTATTCCTTTAGAATTCAGCAGCCGTTAGTTCATTCAAACCCGGATGACTGGCACGTGTCAAATCGAACCAGCACTATATCAGGACCACGTTAAAGACACTCTCCACATGCGAAGTTGTTCTGACGAAATAACTGATGGGCTCTTCAATTCAAAGTAATAACTGACACTAATATACATATTTTATGAATGCTTCTGCGCCATCTTTTCCCAGGCTTAGAGAGTCGTCCAAAAGGAATGAGAAATATCATATTTCTTTTGTTCCTTCATATGCTCGTTACCATTTGCACAATGTGGTGCTGAATTTTGAATCAGGTACGCCACAGCGAACTGCAAATTGGCCGGATGATTGTACGTCTTGTCTGACCGCACCAGAAGGTCAAGATGAGCATATTGCTAATAGGGCAGTGACTTATTATCCGTTTCTCAACTGGTCCACTGGCACTCAGACGAGCGAATTCTTTGCTCAAGTGAATCGTACGATAAATCAAAAATTTTACTCTCCACTGAGAGCCGAATCCGTAACACCTTAAATGGATAGGAAAGCCAAACTACAGTATCCTGCAACAGTGTTCCCACCATTGACTGCGCGCAACCTCACATGGTATCCAATTATTCGCAGAATTATCCGTCTTCTTACCGGTGCGTTGTCGTTCTATATGGAGGTAGCAGAAGGCATGATGAAAGGAGTTTACCAAACCTCAACTGAGGATTAGTGTGGATGCCAACGCGATTCTTCTTTTTGTGTTTGTAGTCAAATTTCCTGTCTTAAACAGGTTACTTTTAAGAAATTGTGAAATTTCCTAGCCCCAATGATTTCGGGTGGAATTTTACTGCCACAACGAACAACTCGTTTTCTTCCAGGCAAGTGATAAATAGCCTTTGTGCATCTTTTAAAAATAGGACATGTCCAAATGCCTGAAATTCGGCAATGCATTCATTTGTTGACGACTTCTATGAGCACGATGATTGAGTGCTTGACTGAAACTGCATGTGACTTCTCCGCCTGCTCTTAAATATCTTATGTTTTTCGGTGTGCTCGTCTGACATACGCTAATCAGTGGTTCGCGCGTAAAATATGATATGCATAACTACAATTCCCTTGCTAAACTATATTGTTTACGGCTAGTATGGAGTATGTACTTAAATAGTTAACAGTACGTCTGACAGCATATATGCTAGCCTATATAACGTTATGCACGAAATATTAATTTCGAGGTATCTGAGAATAACCCATTATTTCCAGACTGATTTCACTGCATGCTGTGCCGTACCATTGCTCGTACCTGTCGTGAGGGCCGGGAGTGGGAATTTAAGCAAATCAGAGCTCCACTCAGCGTTTAAGTCATTTCAGTTTTGGAGTCATTATTTATTTGTGATCAGCAGTAGCTTTTTCTTTGCAGAAACAGAATGATGCTATGCATCTCGTACTTCGCCCGGAGCCGTAGTTTGCCGAAAGAGCCCTTTGGCAAACGCACACTTCAGCGTGAAATCTGTGCTTTGAAGAATCAAGTGTCTTTAAACACATTTCGGCGGACAAATCAATACTTTTTTTATTCGAGCTACCTCAATATGGAATATTTGGTTAGTGTGTTGGTAGTCAAACTGAAAAATGACATGTAAACGGTTTATTTTATGCACAGCGCAAATGCTGCCTGATACGGTGCTTTTCTGAAACAGATGTTTCAACTCCTTCCTCATGGATTTTTTTGAAAGTTGAGGAGTTAGCGAAATTCCGTCATCGACTGGTCTTCTGCTGCAGGCTGGACGTTTTGAGCCAAGAAATGAGAAGCAATCTTGGCAAAATGGACTGCAATTGCTCAGTCGGTGGAGCATCGGACTTAGGACCGAGAGATCCCAGGTTCGAGCCCCGGTCAGAGTCATTCTCATTCGTTTTTCTTCCTTCTGAAGCTGAGGAATAAGTACCACTCTGTGGAAAGGAAACGCAACTACACGGTATATCTGTAAACTCTACTTTTAACATAAAACACTCGTGGCTAATAGCATAATAACGGAGATCATCGCTCCTCCAGGAATTTCATGAGAAACGAAGGCGCAAAAAATGGTTCAAAATCACGAAAGTGTCAAGGAGACCAGCCTTGGAAGAGGAATAATCCAGAAATATGACCGGTTTATTGGAAGTCAACCTACCGTATATCCGGTTGTTGGACTTGTTGGACTCTTGAAGGACGCTATCGTCTATCAGGTTTGTTTTATGGTACTGAAATAGCAACTTATGACGTCCCAAACTCTCTACCTTTTGCAAGAAAATGGCTGTGGATACTTCCGACAGAAAAACATCGTCGGGTATGCTTCGCAAATAGAAGAGATATAAGTATGAATCTTCAACCTGTGTAACAAGCCATCGGGTTTCTGGCATATCCTTATTCCGAAGACGGCCCGAGGTTGATCCGAAACGTCAGATGGCCCCATTAAAGAATATTTTATGTGGTCTCTTCCCGTTTGTGACATACCAAGGCATCATATCATCTCCTGCATAAAGAAATCATTTGCCATATTCAGCTTGGTTCATGTTATATCGTAATGAACGGTCGTCGCAAGATACTCACAAAAGAATATCTTACGTATAACATAAAAAGTGATACTTATATTTTAATCAAAACAGAGAAAACAGTTTCTTCGTAAGTGCTGATTCTAAAGAAGTATCTCACCTCCATCCAGAGATTTCTGAGGACACAACCAAATGGAATGGCTTAGCTAACTAAAGACGAAATACGAGATTTTGAAATAAAGTTCCTCTGATATGGTATATTCATGACTAGATAGATTATAATTTTGTTTTTAAAGCTTAAACCGTTGTAGGAGCATGTGGAAGTGGAAAGATTAATGAAGGTCTTACAGCCAGCAAACAATAGAACAACATTGCATTCGAATATGACCACACTGGGGCGCATAGAATGCGCCGTCATCTTTAATGCATGCACTGTACCGCAGCAACTTTCCTAGTTGTACCCTCTAGCTAATTGATGACTCAACACAAATTCTGATCCATCATTTAAAAAAATAATTGACGGTTATTCATAACTCAAGTCCTCTTTCCAAGTTGAGAAAGAGCAAGCTGTGACTAGTTTATTCCTCATCCTTCATCTGACTTGGCCTCATTGAGATCTCTTCCCGAATGCAAGGTGACGTTCTGTTAAAGTTTTTATTCTTGAGCGTCTTTCGGCGGGTTGTTTGGTAATACATTCAGGGTGACAACCATCGTGGATTCGGCATTCTCACACCAACGCTTTACAAAATTTCTTTCCGTCCTGGTGACTCACGTAAGTGAAGCTGATTCTGAGGTTTTGGTCACAGAAAGGTACCACAACCACTGACTCATCTTACTGGAGAAAACCCACATTTACTTCCAGAGCCTCACTTCAACAGACGTGATTTCCCATATTCCAGTTAAATGAAAAATGAAGCGGAAAATCAATACTACAATGTCCACAGATGTAGTACATTAAATCTGGCTTACACGCTATTACCGTCCGGCACATCATATTTCACCGATGGTATGAAACTCAAACCTGGCACTATATATATTCATATTTTCGCTAGAATTGGAATCGAGATGTAGCATCACAATTCGAAGTCGGAATCACCTGCTCTGTTGGTTATTTCCTCTGGAGGTTCAACTCTTAAATGGATCAAGACAATTACAACCACTGGGGAGTGCTCGAATCGGACAGCATGACCTTACGCTTCGTCCATTCTAGCATGACCAGACCAAAATACTATGACGTGCCTATTATTCGCAAGTCACAAAAGTTCTATGCGTTTCTCGGCTGGTTGTGGGCGTTAGTTTCTGTTCACGAAAATTTATAGCATTCAGAAATGTTGTTCCTTGAAAGGATTCACACTCGCCATCAACGGCGATCAAAGCGGACTTCATAGCCACTGTGCCTTTACGCTAACTTCATAATCATATAGATTATTTTAACTATATATACATATGTATTTCTCATAATACGTTAATACGATCTAGTAAAAATGCTGAACGTAGCAATCACCGTTTTAATCTGATGATGTTTACCCAAAGCCGCACCTTTTTTATGACGAATTATGACGAATGACAAACTCTGTAACAAAGCGTGATTGAATGACTCGATATTAATTAAAATTTAATATATATTCGTTTCAATGACAAAATTATATGCAGTTGCGCTCCTCGTCGTGCATGTAAACTTCGAGGTTGAGGACGCCGATGTCGCACACCGCCGGTATTTTCGAAGGCGTGCCGACGTACTTCTTCGGAATATCCATTTTCCACCGTCGCTGGCACGGCTTGTAGGCGTCGTTGCAGTCGTGGTAGATTTTGACCACCGGGTCGATGGTGGTCATCTCCGACGTTTGGCCATCAAGGCTGAACTCGCCGTTGCTGTTCGTTCGCGCCTCGTCCATCGTGTCGTCAGGTCCTCCGGTGTCTAAAGCGAGTCGAGCGTTCAGTTAGTCGACATAGTGAGGAACTGACGTGTAATGTCAATCATCGTTGTCTTCAATTATTACCATTGCAAAGCTAGATTTACAATGTTATCATATCCATATATCGCCGTGGACATTGGATGTTCAATTTGTAGAAATATGATTTTGACAAATACACTGCTGGTGTTTGGCGACCTGATGAAAGTACGACAACTGAAATCCCTCATTTGCGAACCTCCGTAGTTTAAGCTCAAGAGATAAAAATTGTTACGGTTTTGACAGTTGATTAAAATGTCACACATGGAAGTTTCTTTTTAGCTTGAAAAAGCAACGTGATACCATTTCCCCATCGAGATTTAGGCTGTTGGATTACGTGAAATCCTACAGTCTAGCCCGTGGAGCTCACTGTGTTAATATAAAATGGGAATCATTCGAAAAGCGTCATGATGTAGCCCTATCTGTGATCCGAAAGGAATAGCAGGCATTGAAAATGAATGAGCTAATTAATTAATCAGCTAGCTAATTAGTAGACAAATAAATGAGCGAATGCATGGTTAAAAGAATGAACCAACGATTGAATGAATAATTGAATGAAGGAATGCATGAACAAGTAAATCCTCCAGAGGATAAATAAACCGCTGTTCCAGGTTCCATCCTTATATTTGCACCCGCAAGCTTATGAACAAATAAATGAATGAATTAATGAAGGATGATCGATGTCTAATCATAAATGGGGCCGTTTAGTAGAAGCAGAAATATTGCAGATCAATAAATCGCTGGAATGACCTTCTGTGGTAGTGACCATAAACCGAAGTTGAAAGATAATCATGGTTAATCGCTGTAACCATTACAACTGTTATCTGGTTGTTGTTTTCTAAACGGTTACATTGCTGAAACCGTGGGCGCGTTCTTGCTATTAGCGATCGTCATCTGGGATACAGTAAGCTCAATAGCTCCTCTTATCCTGGATTTATGAAGTCCGAAATGCAGGAGGCAGAATGCTTTAAGCATTACTTGTTTGTCAGGAACATATCTGCTTTTAACAGACTCGGCCAACTCTCAAATTTGCCTCCTCTTTTTTTACACCCAAAATTTTTGATTTTCTGTTGATCAAATTCTTGGTTCTCAACGTTGTATTTGCATGTGAATGGGAAACCCCGATCGTACAGCTTTCCCATTACCTCATCAG